TATGCGCAACTTACACATGATTTGGGAATCAAAGATCGAATGGGCTTCTCAAGAATGAAAGGGTAAATCTCTACTTACTACCATTCTGAAAATTGTTTGGATTGCTTACATCTACTTCATTTGGGAGGAAAGGAATAGAAGAATTTTAAAAAGAGAATCAAGAATTACTGATCAAGTTTTGAAGTCCATAAAGGAGTTTGTTCGAATCAAATTTAGTGACAGAAACTTCAATACAATGTTAATATTAATCTATGTAATTATTGGGGTATAGACTAATCATTTTTTGTTGTAAGTATTATGTTTATATTCTCAATTGGGATGTTTGTTGTTGAACTTTTCTTCATCGGATAATAAAAATTTGTTTATCCAAAAAAAAAAGTTATTAAAATTTATTGGGGCAGGACAAAATCAGATTTAAGTGATATACGTTCGGATCGAAGTTAGGCGGCCAAAAACTCGGCCCGCCCGCCCCGATCCCTCTGCAACGGCCAAATCAAGGTTTATCAAGAACTTGTCAACCAAAATAGATAGTGAAAAATTAAATATAAATTCATACTATCATACTTTTGGAAGATAAATAAAAATAAAAACATAAATATCATCATAAATAAATTCAAAAAACTAAAAAATAATCACTGATAGTAAAAATAGATAAAAGATGTGGTTCACGAAATCGATGAAGGGAAATATTATATAAATTTACTTTGAAAAACAAGAATTGGGTTTTATTTGAGATATATCTTCGAAAATGAAAGAGAATAAAAGAAGCTATGAGAGATTGGATATACAATGGAGAAAGATTAAAAAAAAAAAGAGGTGTTGGGTTAGGAAAAGGAGGTGGAGGTAAAAGTGAGAAGAGAAGAAAGACAATTTTAGTATATTATTTATTTTATTTTATTAATTTAGATAAAAATAATAATAAAAAATAAGAGATAATGGTGCTAACGATTGTTTTGATCGGTCACCCTATTTTGTTTTTAACGGAGTTAACGATTTGGGCAAACAAAATAACAATTTATAGTGAAGGGAGCAAAACGTTCCAAAAAAATACTTTAGAAATAATTCGGTGTAAATGTATACTTCAGGAGGTAATGGTGCATTTAATTCTTTTTTTTTGGGGGTCTGACCATGCATTTGATTCACATTTTTCATCTATACCAGACCATTCTTATGAAACAAAAGCAAGAACATACAATGGATTTTGTTCCGAGCACCATAGCACAGTTATTTTAATTTTTGAACTCTTATATGCACCTTAACCATAGATATATTATCTATGTAATTGCGATTCCCTTTCTTTCTCTTCAAGTATTTTATTTCATACATAAAATCCAAGATATAACAATCCCAAATACATAGGAGAAATGAAATAATTGAACATACTTAGATTATCGCCGGATCCAACGGTCAAAATATAAACATAAATATAAGAATACGATCTTTCAAGACCCGAATTCAAATACATAAAAAGAAATACTTGGATCCAAAAATCACATTTGGACTCCGAGTAACATAGAAGCAAGCTCAAGACAGATATGTTGTTTTCATTCTTAATTATTCCATAAACACATTTATATTCAACAAATATGATTATACAAGGATTTCACTCTATAGAGACATCATGTAGGACATTAAGTTAGATGACCGACTTATAAAATGACTTATAACATTTTAGAAGGATCAAAATTGATTTCCGATAACTTTATGTCAGAAATCCTAAATCCCGACGATTCTCACCTTCCCAAAAAGCAACATCGGCGGGATGAAGATCCCGCGGATGGCTCCACCCCCAAACCTCTTGTTCCTTCTCCCACGGATATGGACTGTGATTCCACCCCTATTCCAATTTCTTCGAAACCTCTGATCTCCTACAAAGATGCTGTCACTGGTGATTCTGATTACTCGACGGATGATGACCTGATCCTGATCGACGATGATGATATCAACCTTACTGATGAAGATATCTGCGTCGGATTTTCCGACGGAGTCCCGTTCATTGACTTCTTACCGAGGGTTCAAGAACTCACACTAAAAAGTATGGAATACACTCTAGTACTTGAAATCCCGGGACATCGTGTGGGTTACACTACTCTCAAATTCTCATCACGTATTGATTACATCAATACTCTCACTGATGGCCCCTGGACCATTTTTGGCCATTATATCTCAGTGAAACCTTGGTCCGAAGACTTTGATCCGAAACCATCGCTACCCAGCCGTATCACGGCATGGGTTCACCTTCCAGAACTACCGTTCACTTGCTATAAAAGAAGCATGATCGAAGCTATTGGTACTCGAATTGGATCAGTTGTGAAGATCAATTATCAAACTGATAATGATCGTTGTGGCAGGTTTGCACGTATGGCAATCAAAATCAATCTCAAGCAACCTTTGGTTTCAAAGATTATTATCAATGGGCGATTACAACTTCGTCACTGATCATACGGCCAAACTTATGACATATCAAGTTAATTCTCTTAGTATTTTTGACCATCCATCTGAACATTTGATGTATGGCCTAGGACTCATTATTCGAAAAAATTTGATTTTTAATAAAGAAAATATTCAAACTATACGAGAATTTAAAATTTTCAAAAAGAATCGTGTCCTCTCAAATAATTTTGAGTGGACTAATGATAGTAATTTAAATAATTTTTAAATTAAACATTGACCCTTTCGAATTTTGAATTAAATATTTATTAGTCTCTATAAATTTCTTCTATGGTTTAATCTTGAATTTCTTCTATGGTTTAATCTTGAGTCCCTCCTTTGATCCTCTAAGATGCATCCAAATACATAGAAAAAAATGAACATACCGAAATCGGACAGTCCGATTCGAGTTGGAGTAACACAGCAAAAGAAAACATCTACAGAATGGCCAAACAGTTTCACCATTTCACATCCTAAGCTAACATAGATCTGATAAACACCATTGATGAACATAAATATCAGCTCCCAACCAGAATCTCACACAACTCATCAAAAATTCTAAATTCATCAAATTTCAATTCTCAACTAATCTACATAGATCAGCAAATCAAACAGTAGAAAAATATCAACAAAAGAACAAAAAGTAACAAGAACCCATATTCAAATTGATTAAATCAACTCAAATTCATTCACAAACAAACTACGAGTTCAATCAATTACAAAGAAAAACCTGTTGGGGCAAGCGCCGAGCTTCGGCCTTCTTGAAGGACATGTCGTCTAAAGCTTCACTTCGACACCAACGGCACATTGGGTTCTGCAAACACTGAGATCTCGAGGACATTTCAGTGCAGTCTGCAAAGGAAGTGCGGCGCCATGAAGGAATTAAAGGGGCTTTGCCGGTGAAGCTATTATCAGTTTCTGCTGCCGCTGCTAATGATAGTAATAAAAGGAAGAGAATTGGGAAGAAGATGGGAAGCTTAGAGCTTGATGTGGTTTCCATGGAGAGATTCAACATTTTGGCTGCCTTTTCTCTTTGTTAAAAGTCTTCAAGGAAAAATCAACTGATATCGAAAGAAATTGAATATCGTTTAGGTATGGTTTTAAGTTTAAGTATTTGTATATAAAAAATTTCTACTGCTCACTTATTAAAATTCGATATATAATGTAAATCAGTCTGAATTAATAAAAACAAAATCTTACGATTGAGAGAAAAAAAAAAAGTCTAAGGAAAAGATTTGCCTTTTTTTCCTTTTTATTAATTTAGGGCTTGAGTTTACTTTTTTTTTTTTATCTTCTCGTCCTTTTTGGCTAGGGCTGAACATCCCTATCTAAATTTAATTTGAGTACTCTATTTTCTTATCAATCATTCAATTGAAATATAAGAAGACTTTACTCTATTTAATTTTGAAGTGAAAATTTATTTTGAAAGATATGATATAAATATATATATTATTTTTATTAGATAAAATAAAGACAACTAAAAATATTGAGAGAGAAATATTATTATAATTATTTTTAAATATATAAAAAATAATTATATTATTATTTTAAATTGAATAATTTTTTCACTCTATATAGAAACCCCGACCCATTTTGGTTTAATTTTATCTTTAAAAAATTCAATACATTATTTATTATGCACAATCTTATTTATAATTAGACAGATATTTAAATTAAAATAAATATGAATAAAACTTACATATAACAAGATTTAAATAAAAAAATAAATACGAAAAATCCAATTACGATTTACATTCTATCTAAATCCAAAACATCTTAAAGTTCTCACAACATCAACTACACCATTACATCAAGGCCATATATCAATTAATTTACAATTAAGTTAAAAGAACGACTACAAATTTATAAATATAGATCATAAAATGAATATAAATTATATTGATGAAAGAGGGTGTTAATTTTTTTTATAACTTTTAGGTTCAGTATAGAGGGTCAATTAATTAAAATTTTTAAATATATAGTGCTTTTTAATTGTCTCAAACTAATAAGAAAATACTAATTTTCCTTCGTATTATATATATTATAAGTATTTATGAGTAAAATATATTACATACCATTCAATTATTATTAAAATTATAAATAAATTATAAATTTTCAAGAAAACTATAAAAGAGTCATTTAACTAATTTATTTATTAATTGTAAGTTTTAATTTTTTTAATTATTATTTTTTAATGATAGAGACATATGCTTTTTACAATCGATTAAGTGAGTAATTTATTTATAAATTTTGAAATGTAGTGACTTATTTATACTCTTATTAATAGTTGAGTGATCTGTGATGTATTTGACCGCATGTTATATTTCGTGTATGTGATGCAAAACTCCTTATATGTGCCGTCTGAAGATGTAAACGTCAACGAGGGCTCTCCCAAGTTTTTAAAGGCAGCTTTCATCTCTTCCTTCAATGATTGATGATTTTGATGAAATTAATTTCAATTCAAAAAGTTTTTCTATAAAATTTATCTTTTAAATCAGCTCCATAAAAAGTTTCTATTTTTTATCTGTAATTAGTAACATTTATTTATACCCTTTATTTGTTAAAGAATTTAATTTCAGTTCAACCGCTTTATGGAGGGCTCCAATCAAAATTTCGGCTTTGATTATAGGGTTTCTTCTCTTTCCCTAAACGAGGATGCTGCCGGCAATCGGAACCCGAATTCTATCCCGGTAAGTCTTTAAAATTGTTTCCACTTGTCGTATTAATCATAGAATCATCGAATTCAGAAAATTAAGGTTTTTAATTTCAATTTGATCTTCTGAATTATGCGTCTATCTTTACTGCTGAATTCAGGCTCAATAACAAAAAATGTTTTTTACCCTTTAAATTCAAATTTAGGAGGATTTTTCTGAGCTGGGTGTTTTTATTTTGTATTAATGTTTGGTGTATTGTTCTCTATAATTATATAAATAAAGTTGAATTTAGTTGTTTTAAAAACTAAGTGCATCATATATATATTATATTTATTTGATGATTATTTGCTTATTCCAAATCATTTTAATTCTAGGATTCTACTGTTGAGGGTCAAGGAATTAATTGTTCTAGAGAATATGATAATGGATTATCAATGCCAACTAAAAGTATGGAGGGGTTGGATGATAAGGAAAAAGAAGTTAAAGAACCGAAAATCGACCTTAAAAAGACTGGAAAATACTTCTTTTATGACTCCCCTCTTGCTGAGGACACGGGGGTTTGGATACCGGTCTCGGTTCCACCAATGCTTGAAAGCGATCATGAACAATGGGCCAAAGGTTTTCCTTCCGGTGGAGGTTATTTCCCTGAAGGTGACATGGGATGGGGTGAGTTCCTTGCTGAAGAGAAGGAATTGACCATGTGGGATGTGATAGTCGAGATGATACTCGCTGCCCGTGGGAAAGTAAATGCTTTAACTTCCAGTGATATTCAGCGATGTGGAGTTTCGTGGTTATCGAGTCATTTGCTTGAGCAAGCTTGGCAAGAGATGGCCCAGACGCTGAATGAAGCGAATATGGGTAACGTGAAGGAAATTCTTGAAGCGGAACCGACAAAGTGGTTGGCTGACAGTGCTGCTTCTGCTTGTATGTTGTGTGGTGTGAGGTTTCACCCGATCATGTGTTCGAGACACCATTGCAGGTTTTGTGGAGGAATATTTTGTGGTGAGTGTTCTAAAGGAAGGAGTTTAATGCCCCAAAAGTTTCGTGTAACGGATCCACAACGTGTCTGCGATGTATGTTGTGTACGGCTTGAGTCTGTCCAGCCATACTTGATGGACCAAGTTAGTAATGCTGCTCAGCTGCCAACTCATGATCTGACAGACCTTAGTACTTTGAGATCTTGGCTTAATTTTCCCTGGGGACAGTCCATGGAACATGAGATTTATAAGGCAACAAATACAATTCGTGGTTATATTACAAAGGTAAGAATCAAGCTTTGAGGTTTACTTGTCATCGATTACTTGTTAACTTATAAAACAGCTCTTAGTGTTTTGCATAAAATTTCAACTCCCTGTGAATATAAAGATCCTGATATTCTGCTAGTTGCTTTTTCTTGATGATCGTTCATTTTAGTACTTGGAATTCTCATTGAAACCATACATATATTTTTCAGAATTCTCACTGTTTTCTTTTTCACCGGCCAGGTTGGTACTTTGAAACCTGAGAAATCGATTCCGGACTCCATCCTCCGAGAAGCAAAAGGCCTTGCCATAATCTCTGTTATGAAAGTTGGTGTTATGGTGACATATAATATCGGTACTGGACTTGTGATTGCTCGTAGAGAGGATGGCACATGGTCTCCACCTTCTGCCATTTCCTCATTTGGTGTAGGATGGGGAGCTCAGGTGAATACATGAATCTTTGTTCTCCATTGACTCGTATGCTAAAGTTTTCCTATTGGATATTCATACCTAAGAAACTGCAAATGGTAGCATTCAATCATATATCTATTCAAATTCCTGGCTGCTACTCTTCCTAGATTATGTTGATGGAACAAAATCATTTTGTTCGTTGTTGTCCAAAAATGATTTCCGTTGTTTAAATGTGACATGTGGGCATAGCCGATGTTTTGGCATGGGGAACTCAATCGGAATTTGTGGACAGTAGGATGCATTGGGTCAATCATGTGAAATTAAATTTTGTTTCACCTTTTCCCTAACCATTAATACATCTGCAGGCAGGGGGAGAACTGACAGATTTTATTATTATCTTGAGAACAAATGACGCTGTTAAGACTTTTAGCGGCAATGCACATCTTTCTATTGGAGCCGGTTTAAGTGCCGCTGTTGGTATTGTTGGACGGACTGTGGAAGCCGATGTACGAGCCGGCGATGGTGGTTATGCTGCTTGTTATACATACAGCTGTAGTAAAGGTATCGACTCATCCCATCTTAGATTTTCTGTTTCCTTTACCATAATCAAATTCAGTTCGGTTGCATATTTGCCGTCTTAGTGATATTTTAGGGTATGGCAGTATCATGCTGAATATCGACATAGCAGTGTCTGTTAATTTGATTATTGTTTGAATTATGTAGGTGCTTTTGTTGGATGTTCACTTGAAGGAAGCGTTGTCACCACTCGGGTAAGAGAGAATTCCCGATTCTATGGCAGCCAGTCGATGACTGCATCAGATATACTTCTCGGGTCCATTCCTCGACCACCAGCTGCTGCCATTCTCTACCGAGCGCTTTCTGATCTATATAACACACTAAGTTGAGCGCCCGAAGTTGGAAATCAAACTAATTGCTTCTATATTCGGTATGAAGAAAATCCAATGGAGCATGAGTCTTAATATATCTTATCTACGTTCTCTGTAAATCAGCTAATCTAATATCTCGTACTATATCATCATTTGCCTGTGTAAAAGTTTATATTGTATAGGGGTTCTAGGTATACCTAAAGGGCAGAACCTGAACCCGGTCTCGGACCTGGATGTCGAAACCTGAATGAAAATGGAAAGATTGACTTGTTAATATGATGTGTATGATGAAGGATATTCAGATATTGTATACATTTCAACACATTCTTATATTCGTGTCGTGTTTTTACATATTGTTTTAGGTCCTCTTTTTTTGGTTTTCTCGTACCATTTTAATGTTGAATGTTACGTAATCGTGTCGTGTACGCGAATTGACTACCTACGCATCACATTGACCTCACAAAATTCCAGAAATTAAAGCCAAGATCACATAGTTTTTGAAAGGTCGAAGTATGGTTATGGTACTTATACTATACTAAAATTCGATATTTAGACCATGGCGACTAGTTAATTCAGTAGTTTACATTATTAATTATTTTGATTAAAATGTCCGATGTGTTTAACGATATTAATGTTTTGTACAGAGTACTAATATTATAAAAATAGCAGATTGAAAAATGTCAAGTTTTCGGCATTGAATTTTGAATTTTTAACCAGTAGAAGGACTAAAATCAAGTTTTTACCTTTATGAAAACCCAGGCCAACTTGCTGAAACACGTGACTGTGCTAATAGATAAACAATGCGATTTGACATAATTGACACCATTTACTCTAATATTCCTTTTCTAACACTGTTTGACCAATATTTCTTAAACTAACAGCCTTCTGCTGAGGTGCTCGTCCCCGGAGATGCGCTTTACGTAAGGCGCGTTTCCAGGGATGCAATTTTCGGCTACGTGTAAAAATCGGGTGATAATATTATAAATATTTTTTAAAATGATGTCTAATATGTAATTAAGTTCTATTAGGGTGATATTAATGTAAAAATGTCAATTTTATTTATTTATTTTTTTGTTGTGAAAAAAAATTCCACGTTAAAATCTTTAAATATTATATTACAAATTATTTTGTAACTCGATAAATTTTGATTTTTGTATGAAATTACACAATACGTGTAAACTAGTATATGAAAACTTTGAAGGTAAATAATTTAAAATATGAATAATTTTATAAAAGTTTTATAACTAGTATTTTTTTTTATAAAAGGATAATGATGATTATGATGATAATAAATATTTTATAATTTAAAATTTATAAATTTCATATATTTTTAAAAAAATTATTAACTTTTAAAATTGATTGTTTAAAAATATAAAAAATATTAAAATAAATTTTTTATTACAATTGAGAGATCAAATGAATTATTATTCATTAATTATTATAATATCACCTCTTTATTTAAAAATATTCTTTCTAATATTAATTTTAAAAAATATTAAATAAATATTAAATTCTAATGAAAAATAATGTAAAGCTAAAAAATATCAACTCTTTATTTAAAATATTCTTTATAATATTAATTTTAAAAAATATAAAATAAATATTAATAATTAATGAATAATAATTCATTTTATCCCTCAATTATAATTAAAAGTTTATTTTAATATTTTTTATATTTTTAAACAATTAATTTTAAAAGTCAATAAATTTTTCAAAAATATATGAAATTTATAATTTTTTAAATTATAAAATATTTCTCATCATCATTTTGTAAAAAAATACTAGTTATAAAATTTTTATAAAATTATTCATATTTTAAATTACTTACCTTCAAAGTTTTTTTATACCAGATTACACGTACTGTATTATTTCATGCAAAAATCAAAATTTATCGAGTTATAAAATAATTTACAATAAAATATTTAAAGATTTTAACGAATAAAGTTTTTTTTCAAAACAAAAAATAAATAAATAAAGTTGATTTTTTACATAAATATCACCCTAATAGAATTTAATTACATATTTGACACCAGTTTAAAAACATTTATAATATTAGCACCTGATTTTTACAAGTGGCTGGAAAGCTTATCCCTGTAAACGCACCTTACGTCCACATAAGCAAACCCCAATAAAACACATCCTCGAAACGCGCCTTTATGTCACTTTAACCGAAAAGATATTACTTCGAAAAATATTAATCAATTGATATTAAATAAAAAATATTAGAGTTAAAAGGTCTAAGTTATATTAAATCGCCCATTATAGAGCTGCAAAAGTCAAGGACAGCGTGATCATTTTGTGCCACTACAGAGCAATGATTGAACAACCAGCATCTATTTCTCATTTTAAAGCTTATTTTATTGAATATTAATTTTGATATATTATTTCGAGTTTATAGTTATTTTTCAAAAAATATGTGGACACATACATATAAATATATTTATTTAAAATGTAAATAGTTATTTAAATTATTGATTAAGTTTAACAATTAAATTTTATATTTTAAAAACATTATTATAATACTTTAAACTAAAACATCATAAATTTTAAAAACATAATTTTGATATTTAAACTAAAATATCATAATTTAAAACATGTCACGAGTACATAGAAAACACTCTTAACATATTAAGTCAACAATGAGAAATCTGAGACATTTTAAATCACTTTCAAACAAATATGAAATGAGTGAATGGACTGCCCTTCAAGGGGGAAATACACAGCTATGAGCTATATGTAACTTGATCATCTGTTTCTCTTTAGCTCGAGTGGAGAGATGGCGGTGTGGGGATGCGGTTTCGAACTCGATGATGTTGCCGATTGGAATGCGAAATCTTAGATTTCGGAATGACAACGTTACCTAGTTTTTGAATTTCCGAGTGTAAGCTCAAGATCATCAGCTACACATTCTTCGTGGATCTTTTCTCCTTCCCAAGGTTTCACTAACCCTGTCGCGTGATTCCTAAAGGCGAACTCAGCAGCGATCGCATCGGACATCGGAACGTCCGATGTTTGATCGACACTAGCTGGCAGTGCTGGTGAGCATGTGCCACTTTGTCCCGGAGTCCACATTCGTGAACCTCCGGCCGATAAAGACTCGTCTTTAAACCCAAACGGGTTTCGAGAGACGAGGCTAAAGGTAGGGGATGTTGGTCCACTAGAAAGCCACCCTGGATCAAGAAAAGCCTGATGGTTAGGACTAGGTGGAGTCGATGAGGGAAGGTAACAATGCCGCTGCCTGGTCCGAGCTGAGCCGGCTGTTGTTTCGTCCCAGTCATTTCTTGTTCGAGGAGTTCGGGAAGTCGGGGAGCTCAATGGTGGGGTGACCGGAGCACTTATCGACCCACCGGCAAAGTAGAGATGGTGAGCAAGCTTAGACGAAGCCGATGAAAGGTTTTTCAACCATGGGATTAAGGAATTGGCATCAGCCTTGCTATTGCCATTGGCTCGGTAATGCGATGAAGCTGGACTCGGGAAGGAAGACGAGCCGGGACTCGGGTAATACGATGAACATGCACTAACCGATGCCGAACCTCCCACAATGTCCATGCGATCCACTGGTTTGCATCCCTGCAGAAAACGAGAAAAAAAACACATCGGATACAGATATACATCCAACACAAGTATGTTCATGCACATAGTAGCTAACTCAACAGCAGGGACAACGCCAGGAGGAGCAGGTTTAGTCATACAATGGTAAAACTGCATTGCAGCTCCTAAAAATTTCTGACTTCGTCCCTGAAAAACGGCCCTGATTCGAAAATGCCTCTACCAATAGGCTTTAAAAAAAAGACAAGGTAAAACAAGGCATTGATGAATTATGAAACAAGAAATCAAATTTGGCATAATTAGAATCTAACCGGTCCTCCTTTTTTCAAACATCACATGAGTCATTTTGGTTTCTATGGGGACACATTTGATGGACCAAAAGCAATAATGGGGGCAAACGTAGTCATTGCAACCCGACAAACAAACTTTGATTAAAAGAGAAAAAGGGATCCACGATAAAATACATTCAAATATAATACTTTATCAAATTTATATTCAAATAATATTTTGTCACTAGTCTTCAAAAATTACAAAAAGCATTAAATTTATCAAATTTTATTATTATTATTATATTATCACAAATAATTATTTCATAACAGTTTAATAAATTTAATAAAAGAATTTTAATTTTTAAAACATCACAAATTTAAAAAAATCATTAAAATATAATACATTAACCTAAAATAGGCATTACCCAAAAATCTAATGTCAAAGACAACGGCGTTTACATAAAGCATAATATTTCATTTGCCAACACGCTGCCTCGTTCAACTAGGTACCACAATCTGTGGGGTTAAAAGGATTTTTGATTAATTCGATTTGATTTAACAAATAAATATTTTTCATTTAAATTAGATTTCATTCAATTCTTATTAAAAGAGAATCTATCTGATTTGAATTTTAGATTAAAAATTCATATTGGATCCAATTTTATATAAATAAATAAAAATTATTCGATAAAATAAAAATCAAATTAAACAAATATTTATAATAATTATTTTTAAAAATATAAAAAAATTATAATACTATTATGATTGAGTCACAAATTTTCATCTTAAACTCAACTAGCCTTAACCCTTTACAATATCTGACATGATCCAAGCTCGATTGTTTTAAAAATAATGTATAATCTCAAATAAAAAATCATCAAATTCAAATCATATTATCACCTACGTCCAACATGTTTATTTTTAATGTAAAATTTAACATTAAAAATGTGTAACATAATCTCATCATAAAAGCTGGAGGAATCCAAGGATTTGATGTCCCCCTTTCTCTCTCACTAAAACATATTGGTCAAAATATAATTTAGATCTCTCTATTATACTCAAATTTAAGATTTAATCCATATATTTCAATCTAACATAATCTGATCTCCTATTTTATAACATCCTTGATTAATCTAAATCGTTAATACCTTTAACTATTACGATTAAAATGCTGGCTTGAGATTTTTCTTATAAACATCAGTTCCAACTCATTATTGTGATATGATTATTTTTGTTGGAATAAGTGTTGATTTAAAAAAAATTGGTATCATCATTTTAATTAAAATAGCTAACAATGTTAATTATTTAGACTAACTCATGACATTACAAAAGTGATATAAAATGACTAAGTTATAAAAAATATATAATGTGTAACTAAATTACTAAATTGAAATAGTGGATGGACCAAGATCAGATTTTGAGCAAACTAGTTAAAAAGCATTGCGAAGCCAATAATCCCGGGAAATCTCAAATTTGAGAATAATACGCGGACCAAAACCATAATTTAACCCATCTG